GAAGAGATAGTTAAGAATATAAACAATGCCTCTACACCACAGAAATTGTCCCAATATCAAGTTCTAAAAGCAAAACCGAAAAAGAAAAATGGCCATTATAGTCATTACTAAGAGGGCTTGTCAGTCTCTTGTAATTAAAAATGCTTTACACTGATCTTAATAACAAAACTGAAAACAGGACCAAGACCCTAAAATAAGTGTCTGTCGCTCAACTGTTTAACTTTGTAGATAAGACCTATCTTCTCTTGCATGTAAGTGCTGATTTTCAAAGTAATGGGTTTTTTTATCTTGACTCTTGCAGTCAAACACTGTTTTTGAATTATTACCTTTTATGGGGTATTATGTGTTGTTTCTAAATTCATAAATACCAGAAATAAAAATCTAGGTCAATGCACACATGCAAAATCAATACCTCAGAATGAATACACATCTCAACCGAATCCAGCTGAGCTTGGCAGAAGCCTATCTAGTTTCTGTCCAGATACAAGAACTGACTGCATTTCTCAGGGTTTTTTTTTTAATATTTCAAAGTATTGCAAAAATGTATATAAATACTTTGCATAGATTTAATTAAATGAGTACCCAAATAAACCAATGCTTGATCTATGGTACTGACTATGCCTGTCTTTACCCTATACTTCAGCTCTGAAACTTTTTGGCTCTGTTTAGATAGTTAAACACAGTATCCACAGTTAACCTAACACTGTGTATACTTCGGGTCTTCAAGTTGCTGAAGCCACATAAACCCTAAGCAAGGAAAGATAGAAAAATATAAAGCCACCATTCATAGTTAATATTGCTAGAAGCCAGCCACAGATTGGTCCCCATCTATAGTATGGACAAGGTCACACATGGAACCCAATTAACTTGTCACTGTATTCATACAACTTCTACTGTACTCACTAGCAACTGTACAAACTAATTATTCCATCAATCATACTCCCTGACTTTTTGTATTCAGTTTTGGGCTTCAGATTAGCAGAAAGGTATTGCAAAAGAGAAGATGCTGCATCCAGTTCTGGGTGCTGCACTTCAAGAGGGATGTAGCTAGCATTGAGAGGGTCCAGAGGAGGGCCACTTGCATGGTCAAGGGGCAGCAGGTCAGGCCCTATGAAGAGAGGCTAAAGGGCCTGAATCTATGCAGCCTCCACAAGAGAAGGCTGAGAGGGGATCTGGTGGCCATTTGTAAACTCACCGGGGGGACCAGTGAAAATTGGATGAGGCTCTGTTCCCCCAGGCACCACTGGGGGTTACTAGGAATAACGGTGACAAATTGTTAGAGAGCAGGTTCAGGCTGGATATCAGGAGACATTACTTCATGGTTAGGGCTGCCAGGCTCTGGGATGGACTCCCAAGGGAGGTGATGCTCTCTCCTCCCCTGCGGGTCTTCAAGAGGAGGCTAGACAGAGATTTGACTGGGGTGTTATGACCCGGGTACTCATTCCTGCCCGGGACAGGGGGTTGGACCTGATGATCTGTTTAGGTCCCTTCCGACCCTAAGCACTATGATACTATGAAACTAAGGGCAAACAAGCGATTACTAGACAGCAGAAAGAAACTGATGGATGAGAAGAGTTACAGGCAGTCACAGAAGTTGAGTTCAATATAGTGATTATGAAGGGATAACTAGAAATATGTAACAATGTAAAGATATCCAATTGGTGTAAAAAACAAGGATTTTTTAGTGTGTGTAATATTAATGTTTGTATCATAGAATAAAGGGGATTACATTAAGAAAGGGAAAATTATGACAAATTCAAAAAACCCTTCAAGTCAGATGCAACTGAGGATGGAACAGTCCCTTAGGAAAAGTGGAGGAAAATCTGTTAGTTGGAATGTATTAAAACTAAATTGGTCAAAAGACCAAAAAAAAAAAAAAGCCAAAATGGACAACTCTGCAGGGTTGTGGAGTTTTACTTCATGTTAGTTTAAAGATTTATGAGCTTCATGCGTGCAATAAGACAGCTCTGGAAAAATGAAAATGTAAACCAAGGTGTGTGGAAAAAGTCATTATGAAAGCAGTTAGACATGAGTTCCATCTTCCAATAAAGTCCATCCACAGTGTCATCTTCTGCCTTCCTCAGAGAGGAAAGAGAGGGTGGAACGTGTTAATGCTTTTTTAACCCTGAACAGTGTGGGCAGTATGGGCTTCCTTTTTGAACTGTCAGCTCCAAAACACTAAGAATCTCAAGTACTATTCAACCCAGTGTAGCTACAACTAAAGGGCAATTTCATTGTTAGCCTATGTTTGTAAGTACTTGAAGAGTTACCCTCTGAACTGAAATTTGTTATCAGTGAAGGTTTTTCAAATAAAAAGCTATAAAATTATCTCAGTCTGGTATCTAGTAATAGTTACTATGAGTAAATTGGTTAATTTCCCACTCCAAGCAGAATACTACTACTGGTGAAATATCCAGTAGTAACCAATTAACACAGTGGTGATGGATTATCAGGAGCTGATAATAGGGATGGGAGGGAGGGGTGGGGGGGGGCAAGGTTTCTGGCAGGGAAATGAAACAATGCCAAATTAAACCATAGCGGTGAATTATCTCACAGGCTAATTAACTAGAGTTTACTGTATTTTTCAGTGTAACACTTTTAGGGGACTGCAGGTCTGCACAAAAGGCTGACATTCTGAGATGCAAAATTCATGCCACATAGCGTGCTGTGAAAGGGATGTTTTCTTGTACTCTCCTCTCATGGAGACTTCACAGGCCTTTTTCCTTCTTTTTTGAAGGTTCTCCACTTCTCTTTGCTTGTGGACATACAAAATGTAGGTGGGTTTGGGGATGTGACTTATCAACTCTATTTCCCCTGCTACTGCTCGCTACTTGCCCCGTCTCATTCATCCACCCACGACTGTTTCCACAGCTATCACTCTGACTTCCTCCCTCAAGGATCAGTCTATGCTCCTTCTACCAGTTAAGCCCTCCAAGCTGCCTTAGCCACCAACCCCTCTGGGCCTGCTTAGATCCTCCAACCTTTCCTTCTCTTCCCAGTACTTAAATCCACTCTTCAAATCTCCTCTTTAATTCTTATTTTGGTTACAATATCCTGCCATCATGGAACTCAACCTGATCTACTCACCTTTTTCACTAAGAAGGCCCAAAGATAAAGAAGAGTCAGACAGGTGAGGTGAAAGGGGAAGAATCATTATTGTGAGGAAAAACAGTGACTACAGAGAAATAGGGAGAGAAAACAATGAAGTAGCTATGGAAATGGTGAGAGGGCAGAAATTATGAGTAATTAACTGAAATCTAAAGCTGGAAATAAAGGAAAAAATATATCCTTTATTTCAGTTACCATGTTACTAAATACCCTGTCCCACATTGTAAAGGTGGGCAGTTGACACACACACACACACACACACGCACGCACGCACATGCACACAGTTCACACTGGGCAACCTATTTATCTGAGCAAGTGACCAACATTTTCCACTGATAAGATACAGGAAATTGCATGACAAACAATTACATTAATGTGAAAATATGGATGAAAATTTCAACAGGAAATTCAATATTATATTTCCCCAGCAGCCTGAATTTGTCTATGATGTAGTATGCATTTATCAAAATGAACAAACCACTATTAAAAAAAAAAACCCCAAAATCTTTACAAAGATCAGGTGTAACATTTTTTCAAAATGTGTGAAGTATGCAGGTATACATGGCAGAGCTATAGTGTATAGCAAACTCTATTCCTACTCAGGTCCATAAATTACCAGACCTCATCCCTGTCACTAAACCGTGACTGGATAATACTTATGCAGCACCTTGTATCAGCATGACTTTGGGAGGAAATTCTGTTTTGGGGCAAGGAAGAATAAAGTAAAATTTCTCAAGGTATCTTTTTAATGGAATGTGTTTAAAGCTCCTAGGAAGTTTGGATTAGCAGTCTCAGTAAGGAAGCTGAAAGGGGGAAGTGTAGATGAGTTAAAGGAACATGGTAAGATTAATTTATCATAACTCTGGGGTCTGTCACATGACCCCTATTATCTCATGCAGAGGGATAATGGAGCAGTTTTGCACCCTTGGCAGCAGTAGTATACAAGGCAGAAGCTACAACTGAGCTGCTAGCAATATAACAACCTAGAGAGCAGCAGCAATGCCTGCTATTTTTGCACCCTCCTGAAGTCAATACCTCAGGTTGGTTCCCTGGTTGCCTGCCTTTAATTAGGCTACCAATCTCAGGATTCAATACTTTATTGCTCAGGCTCAGGGTGGTTACCACTAGGCCTGCATATAAAATGCAGGAGAAATCATTATAATTTAATTTTAAAAATTCATTTAAACCTGGAACTTCTAAATGTTTCCTCTGGTTCTAATTATGACCTTATATCACTGAGGTATTGTTTATGTATTGACTCCATAACTATATCTGAGCATCTATCCTCATGCACAAATGTAACACTAACTTGGTACTGTACCCTTGTGTATATAAAATACCATACACTCAGACCACGTACATATGATTGTAGAAAATACACGGAACTACTTCAGAGACTACTGCTAAGAGCTTGCATAACTGCATGAGCCAGAGGAGTTTGTTCTATGTGTTATTTTACATGTCATTATTTTTACATGTTAGAAAGGTAAGGGAGTATTTACTAATATAAGTAGTTAATCTGTCATCTGGGGTGACAAGATATGCAAAAGAAAGTTCCTTTATGTAGGTATTTCCTCATTTTTTCAGGTATCGCATGGCTACATTTGCACTTAAGCAAATTTAACTCAAAAGCAACGGTCTTTTTCAGGAATCTTCACATATATACATGCACACAATACAGAGTCTAGGTGCCAGTATATCTATATGAGTATCTCATGTAAATACACAAACACCCTTCCCACCTAAATTCAAATGAAAAGGATTCATACAGATTTCACTTACATGCAGCAGGCAGAATTTTTTAAACATGTTACTGCGCTTCCTTGTTTACTTATTTAGATTCACATATAAAGGAAGTGGTAAGACTGACTAGCTGACAAGTTTTCTGAGAAGAGACCATTTTGTACTGAGAGGAAGCAGGGGCTCTCTTGAATGCTCTTACACCATAATTCAGACATAAGAAGTCAGTATTTAACAAAAGAAGATCTGGGCATGTATTAGGCAAGGAGATTATTAAACTTGCTGGAAGTGGTCTCAGACAAGAAGTCTATGCTGTTTCATCAATACTCTTGGCATGAAAATTCTGTAACCTCCTAGGAAATTAAAACTAAAATGGATTTGCGAAACATTCCTTATCGCTCAGAAGTGGCTGCTTGGAACCCAGATAACCTAGCAGAGTACTTTAAAACAGTAAGTTTCATTATGTTTTGCCCTTGAATAGTTGAAAAACAAATGACTGTAACATATCTTAAGCGTGTGTGTGTGTGTGTGTGTGTGTGTGTACACACACATATATGTAGTATGCATATATAGATATAGATATAGAACCCTGGGGAATCCCTCTTGATACCTCCTCTCAACTAGACATAACATGTAATACATCTATCTATAGATATAGATATATATGTATTACATGTTATGTCTAGTTGAGAGGAAGTATCAAGAAGGATTCCCCAGGGTTCTATCCTGGGTCTGGTATTGTTCAATATCTTCATTAATGATTTGGATGACAGGACTGAGTGCGTGCTTCACAAATTTATGGATAACACCAAGTTTTGGGTGGGATTCAGACACCCTGGAGGGCAAGGCTAGAATCCAGGATGACCTGGACAGACTGGAGAAATGGTACACAATCAGTCAGATGAAACTGAACAGGCACAAGTGTAATGTCCTACACTTGGGACAGAATAACCGCATGCACAAAATCAGACTTCATTATTGCAGGCTTCAGTAGTGCGGAGGCTTCAGTACTGCCGAGAAAGACCTGTGGATTACATTAGACCATAAGCTGAATATAAAGCAACAATGTGCTCTCCTTGCAAAAAAATCCAACAGAGTCCTGCGTTGTATAAACTGGAGTATCACCTGGAAATCAAGGGAAGGGATTCTTCCACTCTATTCAGCACTAGTGAGAGGATTTACATAAAGTATGGGTCCCACACTTCAAAAAGGACATGGACAGTTTGGAAAGAGTCCAGCACAGGGCAACAAAGTTGATCGAGGCCCTGAGAGACAAGACTTACGAGAAAAGATTGAAAAAACTAGGGTTACTTAGCCTGAAGAAGAGGAGCCTGGGGTGGGAGGGAGGGGGTGAAATTTGATCACAGTCATGAAATATCTGAAGGGTGATTATAGAGAGGATGTAAATGGGCTTTTCTCTGGGGCTGTACGGGACAGGACTTGGAGCAAGGACCTCAGATTGCAGCAGGGGAAATTTAGGTTGGAGATTAGGAGGAACTTTTTGAGTACGGGGGTGGTCAGGCTTTGAAACAGGCTACCTAGAGAAGTATGGAATCTCCATCCTTGGAAACATCAAAAGCAGGTTAGACAGACACTTGGCAGAGATAGTTTAGTCAGAGATGATCCTATTTTGTGCAGAAGTCTGGCCTAGATGGCCTTATGAGGTCCTTTCCAGCTCTACTTTCCTATGAGCCTACTCAGATGCACAGATGCACATTATTTAAAACAAGCGCAGAATCTGTGGCACAAATAATTTCAAATGATATTTTAAGAAATCAAAACATGCCCCATAAAAAAGGCCATTGTATTCTATGTTGGTCTCACAAAGGCTTTTTTAAATTCTGAAAATATATATGCTAAATTAATAGCAAAGAAACTAATAGCTTCTAAAGGAAGCAAGAAAAAAATGCTTTGTAAAGATGTCTCATTTAGTTTGGCGCTGTAAAAATTATACACTTAACATAGTAACTCTAGTTTTAAAGGTAGGAAAGTGTTAAATGTTGGTCATTTATGGTGTCTCCAGTACGCTAATTCCTGTATCTAAAAATCTTCCATTTCAGGACCCACTATGAACTTGAGTGCATTATAAAACTGTGTTATAGCCTAGAGCTCAATTTAACACTAAAGTACCTTGTGTTTCCTGGACTATAGGGAAAATCTGACAGGAACCCTGACACAAAGTGTTTCAGTATTTGTACTGTGATTTTCGGAAGCCTACAGAGTGTTAGATTCTTAAATTCATTAAGGATTTGCTACTCAGATCACTTATGCTCCTTTAAAAAGCCAGTCTGGAAATCCACATACCTAGCCTTTTAATGACCATAAAATGAAGCCTGCTTCTTTGTCAGGCAGCACACACAATCAGTTCCGTAAACTTCCTAGGGACTTTTCTTATGAATAAGTACTGCTCTGTCTAAGCAAGGGAGGCAGACTATTTGCCCTAGAGATTTATTCCAGTGCTTTCAGTAGATTTTAATTCCCAAAGACAAACACATTTTGCTGTCTCACAACAGAATGATTCATAACTATATTTCTGCTGCTTTTTTATCTAAAAATGGAAGAAAAATTATTGGAAGTTTTGATTCAAATAAAAAGGAGGGCAGCTTCAGGATCCAAGTGGACCTGTTTCTCACCCCAGTTCCCCCCACGTATCATGTTCTCAACACTATTTCTTTAAGAGACAGGGCCTTCCTCAGAATTCCTAGACAGAATTTTTTTAGCTACAGTAGCGTTTTCTGTAATACACTAGGCCCAGGGAGTGAAAGCCTCAAACCTCTCATTGCTTATGACCTCTTTCAGCTTAGCACTCTACAAAAAAATGTATAGCAAAATGGGCCAAATTCACTGCTGCTTTACATTCTGTGGAATCTTCCTGGTACTGGTGAGTTTGAACAGGGGTCATATGAGTAGGGAATTTGATTCATTCATGTTGGAACTGATATCTTTTCTCTTCCACATATTTCTTTCTCTATAGCTCTATAACGTTCCCTAATTTTTAATACACAGCATAAATATCTACCTGTCACATTTACAACAACAACAACAACAAAAATCCAAAAACTTCCATCTTAAATTATAAACCAGATTGACCTAAATGTTTCTAAGGATTTTCAAACCATATCAGCAATACCTGGTCCAGTTTCAAGTGGACACGGAACTAAGCTTGAAGAAATCTGTGCCAATTTAAGGTTGGTATCATGCAAAATTCATGGTTTCAATAGCTTTCATAGGTTGTCATTTGGGAAATTGGGGCAAGTTAGAAACTAAAATGCAAAACAAGCTTCAAGTGTAGTAGCCAAGAAACACAGATGAAAATTAAAGTAAATGTTTACAGGCCCTCCAGAGAAGTGAAACTGCTAACTTGTTGCAAAGCTTTAGTTTCAAGTGTAGTTTTCTTCTGCTTGGCTGCATGAAAAAATATAACCCAAGATCTTGAGATATTTTATATGTAATTCTTACCAAGAACTAGATTTAAATTTAGGTTCAACAGATTAATAAGGCCCCTGTACACATGCAGGTAAAGGCTCAATGGTCTCTAAGGCATGATTCATGCAATCGTGCCTCCTGTCATACCACACATGCATGGCAGGAAGCATGGTTGTGGGATTGTGCATTAGATCTTATTGAGTCTTATTGCTAGTGCAGGGGGAGCCTGAACTGGGCTCCCCCAGCACTGGCAAGAAGCAAGCCCCTGTGGTTGGGAGCTCCAGTGTAAAGATTTATTTGATATCTATACTAATTATTTGGCCAATATTACCATAGTATCTCAACATCTCACAATCTTTAATGCATTTATCTATAAAACACCCTTGGAAGAATGTGAATTATAATTTTGCCAGGCCCCACTAAGAAAGGAAGTAGTAAATAAGATATTTACTACTTGTCTGACTCTTCTTGAAGAAAAAAGAGAAACATTTATGTTTGTAAATTTTAAATGTAATATTTAACAAGGAAATGGATTTTTACTTAAAGGAAATACCTTTAGGAATATAAGTTTAAGTTCCAGGCCTACACATACTTCCTACCATTTGCCCTACACATTTAAAACCTTGAGCAGTATTACTGTAGCCAGTGTCATACTAGTAAACACTATGCCAAGGAGTAATTATTTGAGGAACTGAGTCCTTAAATTTGACAGAGTTTATATAATAGCATGCACTACTTCAAAGTGCTTTATAAGATCAGGATACAACTTCTGCAAACCCTTACATATATGAGTAATTGGAAATCACTCACAGAGGTAAAAACTCTTGCATGGGTAAGTATTTTGAGTATTAGCTCTTGTGAAGGTAGTGTTACAGGCTACCTTTAAACCATGCCATACTAAAGGCACTTAAAATGGGAGCATCCATGTATTAAAGGGTGTAAAGCTGTGCTAAGTACCCCCCAAGCATTTTAAGGTTACACCACTTTGTGTTATCTTTGAACTGTTCTATCTAGCCTGAGCTAAGGTACGGTTATGCTGCTGCAGTGAGATAAAGGCTATTTGTAGATGTGTTCAACATTTTCTAAATTGTGTTAACTGGTTTGCATCACACAGTTTGAATCAAATTAAGGGTTAATGACTGAACATTGACCATCACATCAGGAAGCACTGGTCATACACAGTCTAAACACTTAACAGTCTCTTAACAGAGGTTGGAAATAATTAGAAGGTGATAATTAGCCTGCTACAGAAGCTGTAATTGATCCGATACTTAGCTGGGTGAGGTGTTGTTGGCATATTTGACTTTATAAAGGTGTTACTTTGTGTCTGATAGTCAGGGACCCAGGTATTTTTTTGCCGTGGAAAAATGTGGTAAAACCTAGATTTTCTCATTTTAAGAAGAAAAACCTGAAGAAGAACATGGGAAAAGGTGGGTTTCCCAATTTGCAGGCTGGCAGAGGTTTCAAGCCTGCAAGCAGCTGGGGATAGTGAGAGGAGGGTGGTCAGGCAGGGGATGGCATGCGCATGTGCACATCCACACATGCATATGGCCACCCAGCAGCCTGGAGAGCAGGTCCCTGCAGGTAAGTCTGGTGGCGGGGGGGGGGGGGGGG